ATGGTACACCTGGACATCAAACCTAGTCAGTGTGATTCCCTTCTGCCACTTCTACCATATTTTGTTCTTTCTATGCTATCATCAAAATCTAGGTCTGTATGTCTACCAAGTGTCAAAGACAGTGTTTGCTGGCAAGAACCCCTTTCTTCCATTTGTGTCCCTTTAAAAAATCAGTTAAATAGCTTTAACCGTTCTCTCCTAGGCCCAACGGATAGAGAAAAAAAAAGACTCTTACCCATATATAGTAAGGCCAAAAAGGTAAAATTAGGTATTTAATTTACTACAAAGGCAAGTGACAGCATATCAGCTACATTCTGATTGTGTTTATGACTAGGGCCATACTCATTCTAACTCTGCACTGATTAAGGAGAAATGAGTATCGCTCATTAATGTGAAACCCAAGGACAAGTTCTTACTATTTTTTTATTTTGGGGACAATAGTACTTTGATGCCAGCCCCTTCAGAGAATGGAGAATGTATGAGGTCAGTTCAACTTAAATAGGTATGATCAATCACTAGCTCTTCAGAAGTGATGTGAGATTTCACAGAAAAAAAGAAACCTTAGTAGTCTTGCTATGTCCACACAAAAGAAGAAAGGAGAGAAGCTGAATTGTCAAATACAGAAAAGAATCTTTGAGATGAAAAAGCTTAGAAATCATTGCTTACATCTATCCTGTAATTTTTTTTTTTTTCAGGTAATATCTTCATTTGTCACAAGATGCAAAGTGACTCCCCTGGAGTCATAGAAGAAGTTGAAAATGAAGCTGATTGGTTTCTCTCTGCTGATGTGATATATAAAATCGGTTAGTCTGCCTTAGACCCTTAGCAGTTACTATTATCTTACAAAATTTATACTGATGACTCAATTTATTCCAGTTTTAAGACATGCTTTTAAAGCTCTTTTTTTCTATTTTATTATTTCCTTTTTCCTATCTTTTTTTAGGTGACCTGGGCCATGCAACATCAATAAATGAACCCAAAGTGGAAGAAGGAGATAGTCGCTTCCTGGCTAATGAGATTTTACAAGAGGTATAGATTAGGGAAATAGAGGGTATTTTATAATCCGTTGAACCTTTGACTCTCAAATGGAGGATCTCAGTGCAAAAAATTTAAACTGTATATTTATCATTATAGTACCTCTCTTCCCATTCAGAATGGAGACCAAAGATAGGAGAGAAACTCTTCCAAAAAAGTGAGGAAAGCTGGCTCAATTAAGGATGAATCAATATTCAGACTTTTCTTTCTAAATGCCCTTTACTGTTTCCAGATATTTCTTAGACTTCCTAACCTCATGGATTGCCTGCTAAGAAGGAAGCCTTTTCCTCAAGCCCATATTGGTCCAGTCCATCTTTATCATGCCATTATCGTTCTGATAGCACCACCAGTTTCGGTTATTGAAATGACGTTTAGTCATTGCCCATCTTCTCCAATGTCTGTTGAGTCAGGCCTAGGGAGCATATAACTTCTTCCTGGGTGATAATCAGGTGAAAATGAGTATTTCCTTCCTGTGATCAGCCAAATTATGTAGCAAGCCTTTCTGAGCCTGACATCAAAATGGCAGTAAGTTTCTGCCTTGGACTCCGCAGGGCACAGCAGTGATAATCAGGTAGATTTATGTTCTCTCTTCTCTAGAACTCACTGACTACAGTGAATGTACCTTTGACCATCATATCTGTTTAGACCTTATATGCACTCGAATGAACCTTTCCTACCAGTTGTATTTTAATCTAGACTCACTCTGCTTGGCATAATAATTGGCCTTCCTGTTTTCTGTTTTGAAGGATTACCGGCACCTTCCCAAAGCAGACATATTTGCCTTGGGATTAACAATCGCAGTGGCTGCAGGAGCAGAGTCATTACCCACCAATGGTACTGCATGGCACCATATCCGCAAGGGTAACTTTCCAGATGTTCCTCAGGAGCTCTCAGAAAGCTTTTCCAGTCTGCTCAAGGTGATCTCTCTTACGAGATGAACAGAAGATGCAATATCTATTTTTTTTTTTTAATGCAATGGCAAGTAGTAGGGCAAAGAAAAATGGAGATGCTGGTAGTGTCACTAACAGAAAAAGGAATCTGACTAGAAGTCCAGAAAAAATAAGGGGCGGGGCCGGGCACAGTGGCTCATGCCTGTAATCTCAGCACTTTGGGAGGCCGAGGCAGGTGGATCACGAGGTCAGAAAGTGAGACCATCCTGGCTAACACGGTGAAACCCCGTCTCTACTAAAAATACAAAAAATTAGCTGGGCGTGGTGGCAGGTGCCTGTAGTCCCAGCTACTTGGGTGGCTGAGGCAGGAGAATGACTTGAACCTGGAGCTTGCAGTGAGACAAGATCGTGCCACTGCATTCCAGCCTGGGCGACAGAGTGAGACTATCTCAGGAAAAAAAAAAAAAAAGGAGGGGGTGGTGAGACGGATGGAGAATTTCTTAAGGAAACTGAGAGGATATTGTAAAATCTTTCATGCTTAGTTTAAAAGTCCTGTTACAAACATTTTTTTCATTTGCCCTTTCTAACAACGCTGTAAGGTAGGCAGGTGGCATGTTATCCTGCAGTTGAGGAAACCATGGCTCAGAGCAGCTCCTTGACACCTGTAGTGACAATGAATTACGGGCTAACTCCACAATCAAATCTGGTCCTTTAGCTCCTACTTCAGGGTTTTAACTTTTGTTAGTGATAACAGTGATAGTACTAAAAGAATGAATTTCTATTATATGTAAGAAGGTATAAGACTACTTTATTGCTAATTGATAATACCAATTATTTGAGCTATTAGAAAAAAGGCATGATGTCAATTCAAAAATCTGTTTTACTTGTACTTAATGACATCTTAGTAGTGTGGGGACAAGAAAAGGAAGATACTATGTTGAAATAGACACAAAAAGCTTATATTATCAAGCTTAATCATGTCAAGAAAAATGTATATATGACTTTAAATCATGTCTTAAGGAACAGGATTGGTTAGGATTCCCAAAACAGCCTTAGAAATATCTATTTCCTTGGAGATTAGACTTTTTTGGATGGGAGAGGACAGGGTCTCACTCTGTTACCTAGACTGGAGTGCAGTGGCACAATCATAGCTTACTGCAGCCTTGAACTCCTGGGCTCGAGCAATCCTCCTTCCTCAGCTTCCTGAGTAGCCAGACTACGGGTGTGGGAGATTCACAGTTTACCTGCAAACTTCAAATGTATTTACAAATCTGTCCTTCTTCCTGACTTCTTTTGCTTTCCTGAAAGGAGGCAAACTCTTCCTCCTTCCTTTTGTTCAGTCTAATCACCTAATTCCATGTGTAAACCACTTTTGCATTTAGTTGATATTTCAGTACGTAAATGCTGGCCCTGTACTGGACAATACATATATTAATTTGTTAAATTCTAAAAATAGTCCAAGAAGGTAAATATAATTATCCCAAATTTCAGGTAAGGGAAATGGAGCTTCAGCAAAATTTATAAAACAAATGGTGGAGTTGGCTCAGAATTTTGTTCAGTGTTTTCTTCATTATATGACAGTGTCAGTTGCTGTATATAATTAGGTATTTTCTACTATATTCAAATCATGATAGGTTAGACATCTTCCACCTTAAAATAAATGCTTTAGGAATACTGTCATGTTGGGTTATTAATATTAAGTGAAAAAGCAACATGATGTGGTAGAAAGTAAACTGGAGTAAGAGTTGGGCAAACTGGGTTTTGGTCTTGGCTATTCCATAATTTGGATAATTTTTATCAAGGGTCTTAGTTTTTTCTGCTTTAAAACTAAGGCAATAGACTAGTTAGCCAGCCAGTTCCAAAATATGATTAAAGACAAATCAGGCCGGGCGCAGTGGCTCACGCCTGTAATCCCAGCACTTTGGGAGGCCGAGGCAGGCGGATCACGAGGTCAGGAGATCGAGACCATCCTGGCTAACACAGTGAAACCCCGTCTCTACTAAAAAATACAAAAAACTAGCCAGGCGAGGTGGCGGGCGCCTGTAGTCCCAGCTACTTGGGAGGCTGAAGCAGGAGAATGGCATAAACCCAGGAGGTGGAGCTTGCAGAGAGCTGAGATCCGGCCTGGGTGACAGAGCGAGACTCCGTCTCAAAAAAAAAGAAAAAAAGAAAAGACAAATCAAAGATGCGGACAACTGGTGCTACCAGACATGGACGATCCTCCTGCCCAAGGTGGAGCTCAGTTTTCATTTCTTCCCTCTGCACAAAGCCAGAAGCAAGGTCTTACAAAATCCACCAGGAGACGCTGGGTTGGAGGTGGCTTCAGCAAGAAGATTTTTCCCAATAGTGAAGCTTCTATTTATTTCCTCTTGGTCCTATATCATCAGAACATGATCCACCCTGATGCTGAACAGAGACCTTCTGCAGCAGCTCTGGCCAGAAACAGAGTTCTCCGGCCTTGCCTGGGAAAAACAGAGGAGCTCCAACAGCAGCTGAATTTAGAAAAGTTCAAAACTGCCACACTGGAAAGGTATATTATTGGATGATGGGGGTCAAAAAAGAATCTGAGCACTACTCACAATGGTATGACTAGTCTACTGTGTCTTCTCTGTGGATTCAAGTATAAATATATTCACCATTATAATACATAGGTCCCTGCCCATAAGGAAACTGGCAGCATGCGGCTCTTTGTAGCAATGGGCTGGGAGGCTCTGTGATTAGGTTGCTTGAGAGAGAAATTTCCAGTTAATGAAAACAAGGGAAGCAAGAGTGAGGAATGTAAGGAAATACCAGTAAAGAAAACTTAGGATTCTAAGTGACAGCGGGTATCTTAGTAACTGGTTGGTGATCGCCTAATATAAGATAACCACAGGTAAGATGGGTAAGACCTATTTTAGAAACCCCTTAAATTTCAGGGGCAGGTAGGTAGACATACTGTCCTGGTACACATTTAGAGGAAGGATTATTTTTCTAGGCAAAGAAAACAATCTGTTCTCCTGCTCATGTAGGCTTGTATTCATGCATATATTTACTTGTTAATCCATTCCTTCAATAAATGGGAATGCGAATACTTACCTGGCAGGGAAGATACCATGATCACGAAGGCGGTTTTTCCCAGGGTGAGACTCATCGACTGACTCCGGATGTGCTGACCCCTGAGATGTCCCCAAAGGTGGAAAACTTGACTGCATAAGTGTTGGTAGTGGGGGACTGTGTTCATGCTTTCCCCTGAAAAATGAAAAAAAAAAAGGAATTCAATGGGGTGGGGTTGGAGATGAGCAGTGTTCTGAAGGCATTTTTGAGTAATTATTACATGTTCTGTACACTGCTGAAAATACAAAAGAAAATGAAAAATTGTCCCTAAAATAAGCTTAGAAGTCCAACTTCTCTTGGATATACAATCATCCGTCTTGGAAAGATTAGCTTTGAAGCATCCCTAACCTGATTTCTTAGTATTAATAATAACTTGTAGAGACTCTTGGCCTTTAGTCAGGTAAATCTTCCTAATAAGCCACTTAATATGTTTCTGTTCTCGTTTTGAATTCCATTGTCCCAGCTAATAAAGTATAAAGTACTATACTTACATATGTTATTCACAAGAATATAAGTACCACTTAAGGTGTGGTGTATACATTCTGGAAAGTCAGCTATGGAGACACAGGTGACTATCATCAGCTAGTACAAGTGATGGGCACCCATCATAGAGCTGGGGCAGACAGCATCTTGAAATTCTCTAGACCAGGGGTCCCCAACCCTTGGGCCATGAACCAGTACCAGTCTGGCCTGTTAGGAACCGGGCTGCACAGCAGGAGGTGAGCAGTGGGTGAGTGAGCACTACCGCCTGAGCTCTGCCTCCCATCAGATCAGTGGCAGCATTAAATTCTTATAGCACAAACCCAATTGTGAACTGTGCATGTGAGGGATCTAGGTTGTGCACTCCTTCCAAGAATCTAATACCTGATGATCTGAGGTGAACCGTTTCATCCTGAAACCGTCTCCTCCCCTGACTCCCCATCCATGGAAAAACTGTCTTCCTTGAAATCAGTCCCTGATTCCAAAAAGGTTGGGGACTGCTGGTCTAGACCAAGTGTTGGAAAACTTGTTCCGTGAAGGGCTAGACAGTAAATATTTTATGCTTTGTGTGCCATATGCTTTTTGCTGTGATGATTTCAACTCTGCTGTTACAGTGTAAAAACAGCCATTGACAACATATAAATGAGTGGCTATGTTCCAATAAGACTTTATAAGTACAGGTTATGGGCCAGATTTGACTCAGAAGTTGTGTTTTGTTGACCCTGGTACCTGTCATATGTAGCCTGAAGAGCTGTTCACTTAATTTAAAACATTTTAAAGATCATTTATACTCCAATCAGCAGAGTCTGGGGAGCTAAACCTACCATATTGTATGACATGCATATGTCAACCATTTTTTATGACAACCATAGTAACTGAATTTCCTATTCTGTACATAGCTCAGGCTTTTTTTCTGTAAATACTGAAAAAGAAAAACATTTATATATTAGTTTTGATCATATATATCTCTGATTGGAGATCAAGTAGTCTTTGCTTTTTCCCCCTTGCACTTCAGAGAACTGAGAGAAGCCCAGCAGGCCCAGTCACCCCAGGGAGATAGCCATCATGATGACACTGGGGTCTCTGGGACCCACACAGGACCAAGAAGCACAAAACGCCTGGTGGGAGGAAAGAGTGCAAGGTCTTCAAGCTTTACCTGTGAGTAATCTTCCCCTTAACTCATTTTGCACCAGCCAACCTTTTACTGTAGAACCTCTGGAAATAGATACCAGCTGTCCCAACCTTCCTCTTATAAATGAAAAAATTAGCCAACTTGAACGCCCAAGGATTTCAAAAGCCACTACTAATTTACCATATTATAGCCAAGATCCTAAAGCTAGTAAGGCTTTGTATTAGCAATGGTCCCAGATACAGTAATTGGAAGCCATTTCTCCTCTATTGTTATATTCCTAATGCCACTGATCAATAACTTATTTACTTCTCACACTTTTGATGAACAGCAGGAGAGCGTGAGCCTCTGCACTGAAGGAAGAAAAGGAAACAGCCCTTGGTTTGGCCTATGGATTAAGAGGTTGCTGTTGCTGATTCCCCACGAAGGATCCCAGGGACTCATTATACATAGAAAGGAATAGAATTTAGTTTAGAGTTGAAGTCACAGCTTACAGGAAATGTGCCTGGATTTTCCACAGTGCTTCCCAGGTTATATGATGCTGTTCCTAAGAGACAATTCCCAGCTTCTTGAGGAAGTGGGTCTCCTAATGTATACCCTTTCTGATATTGTATTTATTAAATAAATGGCTTCACCATTATGTGAGGTGGGTAAAAGTTAGACTGTATGCAACTTGGACATCTCTGAGCTGGCTGTTAACTTGCAGGACAAAAATGCTGTGGGGAGGGGCTTCAGGGAAAACTTGATGTGCCTGTGGTTGTTCTCCATCTATTTGCCCTGCCTCTCTTCTGGCTGTTCTGGTTGGTTTGATATTCCGGGTCTCACCAATTTCTCATGATTTTTATGAGAATTTGGCTTTGTTTCCTGTTTTTTAAGATCATATTTAATCTAAATCCTTTTTCTATACACATTTTAAAAGGAATAGAATACTGTATTTTAAATAAAGGGTTTTATCTTGTCCAAAGCCTAATTACAGGTATCCTTCTTTGTAAAATGTAACTAACAAAGAACAAGAAATTTATGTTGGAGAACATTTTATAAATAAAAGGGTAAGAGAATTCAGTGGGTCAGTAGTAACAGGTCTTGGTGGCAAGTCTCAGCTTCACAGATCCAACAGTTAATAATGGTCAGGCTCTGCTAGAAAATTATGTTGGTCATAAAGGTATTTGATAAGTTCTGTTTGTGTCATCTTAGTGAATGCAACCTGTTAATGATAATGGCTTTTTTGCTGCTTGATTTTCTTCTTTCCCCCTCATTTTTAAAAGCTAATTAAGTTTTTTAAATTGAATAAACCCTAATACTATTCTTTGTTCTGCTTTGGAGTAGCAATTCTTTCCATGCAATTAAGTGTGGTGGTGGTCTTCCTATAGCCCATTGCCATTTTCTTTACTAGGCTCTATTCAAAATTATAAAATGGGGTTAGTTTATCTCTTGCCACCTCCCGCTGAACAACACACACACACCAGGCCATGTCCCTTGTAGTATAGTACAAGGTCAACCACAATTTGTGATTTAGAAACAGGTAAATTATTAAGTACATCCAATGTACAGATGAGAATTGTTTGGTTATACTAGTCTTCTCAGGCATTGATAACTGACTATTTGGGTCTACAGCCTCTTCTCTACTGTGTTCCTCAGCCTAGCTTCACAACTGAATGGCCCTGGTGCCAGATTATTGGCCGCTCTGGCTCTCTCGCTCTGGCTCTCTGGCTCTCTCGCTCTGGCTCTGGCTCTGGTTTGCCCGCTCTGGTTCTTTCTGGCTCGCCCGCTCGCGCGCGCTCTCGCTCTCTGGCTTGCCCGCTCGCTCTCTCTCTCTCTCACTTTCTGGCTCACCCGCTCGCCCGCTCTCTGGCTCTCTGGCTTGCTCTCTCGCTCGCTCTCTCTCTACAGTAGCAGGATGTCACCAAAATAGTATGTATCTATCTGCATAGATACTACTGAGTGTGAGGGACTGGGTCTTCACTGGCCTTGGCGTTTCATCCCTTCCATTTCAGTTAGATGCTTATTCCTTACCTCAGTAAGTTTTGTTTTTGCACAGAGATCATTATGTAACTTGGAAACTAATTATCACAATTATTTCATTAACATCATTGGGCTGGTAACATTAAAGAAGTTAAATTAAAATACTTTAGAAAATATGTTACTTCTCTAAGGATGTATTCTAAATGTCAACACTGACATTAAGGTATCAACAGATAATCTTGAGATCTAGAGGAATACTATTGTGCTCCACTGGTCTAAGCTCTGACACACATACCACTTTAGAGAGGCCATTTACTGAAAGTTGTAGAAAGATGAATATTGAAAGATATGAACCTTTCAGCCTGAACAACTAAGGCTTTTTATCTCTAAATGAACCATATTTTCAATCTTGAATTGCAGAAAAATTGTCAGGTTGTTTTTAAATTAAGCCATAATAACTACTAAGTATTGCTAAAATTGCTTTGAAACCATTCTAAAATATATGCAAGTAATCAGTGTAGGTAATAAGTGCTGCAATTTTTCAACAGTTATTATGAGGCTTTAGAGAAGCTGATTTAAAATCAAAGTAAAAACCTGATTAAAATTTATTTAAAAATGGATAATTTACAGCAAAACTGTCCAAGGCTTCCTATTTATGATAAAGCATTGCCAGTCTTCGTCTCTACCAATGGATGCCTATAGCTGGAACCTTTTTAATTCAGGGAGAAATAAGTCAGGCCAAAGGTGATTTTGCACCCCTGGGCATTTATGATACACACTTCTTTCTCATTCATCTTTGCAAGTGATAAAAGCCCTGAGTCAGTCTACTACTGCCAGGCATTAAAACTGATTAAAGCCATAATGCTACCTGTCACCACTTCACAGCATTGGGAAGGCCGTCTCTGGGCCCATGGATGAACTACAGAAAGTATGTGTATGTGTATCCTATGGAGAGGTTTCAGGGCTTCCTCATCAAAATGTGAAATTTAGGTTTCTGAAGGGGTATCTCTGATACAAAAATATATTGGGATCACTATTCTTAGTCCTCGATTAAAAAGAAATTTTATGGCTCTGTGAGCATCCTTCTGGACTCTTCCCAGAAATAAGAATGCTTATTTGAGCATCCCTTCTGGATTCTTATTTCCATACCCTGGCCTGTGACCTGGGCCCTACTAGCCTGTCCTTATTTTAAAGTATACTGTGAACTGGATATTCACAAGTTCCCTGAACTCTAAGAGCTCACAGTTAACAGGAGGGATGAGGTACCTTCGTGATCATTTGTTATAAGATGGACAGAGTGTGCAAAGAAAATGAAATGGGAGAACAGAAAGGAAGGAACATTTGAGTAGAGAATTCTGAAAGTGTGTGAGGGGAGTGCATTTCAGATCCTGAGGATGGAGCAATGCAACATAGAAGCATTTGTGTTAGGAAGGAGGGATCCATTTGATAATAGAAGAAAATGCTTTAATTTCTCCATGACATTTTACATCTAAAAAACTGTACATTTTATCACACTTTTCTTTGTCACAGAAAAAACAAAGTAGCAGCACTGTGACTCTCTCCAGCCAGCAATCTCAGGAGAATGTGTATTGGCAATTCCTGTCTGAGAATTCAGGGTACTCCAGACTCTCCACTAAGATATTTAGAAAGTTGTAAGAGTTTGCTTAAGGTTGTCTCTTTTCAATTTGCATGGTGCTTTCTGCATTTTTCTTTATATAACTTCTCCCACACTCCTTACTCCAAAGTATGCAAATTGAAAGGGAGATATTAGTGGCATCATGAAGAAAGAAGTTTTAGGGCCAAGTGATTGGATATGGGTGAATGGATGTGGGTGGTCAGAGAGAGATGAAGATGATTATAAAGTTCAAGTCTGGGAGAATCTTGGTACCATTAAAACAAACAAGGGAGAAACTGACATTGGGCAAAAGAGTGAATTTAGTTTTTCATTTGACTCAAGTGGAAGCAGGATTTTTAAAGAGAAAAATCACTGGAAGTCATTGACAGTAGTAACATAGTGGGTGGAGTGTGGGATTACTGATTCCTGTGCAAGGCTTGAAGGAAGTATAGCGTGGTATGTTTTAGGAGCTCAACATTGTGAGGGTGCTAGTAAAATAGAGGTAAGCATCTGGAAATACGATATACCAACTGGTAAGCAAGACCTTCAGGAGTGAGTTAAGGTGTGCGTTGGAAGCTATGTTAAGATTTTATCCCTAAATGGCAAAAAATGGGAAGATGAAAGGTTTAGGTAGAGGCCTGAGGAGGTGATTTGCCTGTTAGAACAATATGGTGGGTACCTTCTTTCTCCACAACCTGGACAGTGCCAGGACCAGGAGATGGAGTGGAAGGGGTGGTCCCCACTGGTGTGGGTTCTGTATGGGGCTCCATACATTCTTTTTCCCGCTAGGCCCAGGATTAGCATGAATGAGACAGAATTTAAGGGGCACCAAGAAACTCAGCAATCAAGATTTGTGACACTTCAACGAAATATTCTTAAAATATTAAAACTAATGAAAAAAAATTCATGATGAATAAAATACCAAAATTTTAAATAAAAACAAGATCAGTAAGCTGAAGTTAATTAAAATTATTTAAGATTGTTACTTGGTCAAGAAAAATTGTGAAGGTATGGAAATTCTCTCAAAACAAGATAAGCAAAGAAGTAGATTTGAAAACATTACTGATCAGTTTACTTCCATTAAAAGTAAAGTTATATTACATTCCATCTTGGCATAAATAAAATATTTAAAGTTAAAACAGTGTTGTGAATTTTAATACACCTATAGTGTAACGGGTCCCCCCCGACCCCGGGTTACTAAAGAGTGTATGTCCACTGCCTGAATCCTGAAGGCCAGGCCATGGTGACCAGTCAAAGAGCAGGTGTTTCTGAGAAGCTAAAGATCCTAGAGAATATCTGAGAACCTACCAAAGAAAACAGTTCCATCACACACAATAGGCTAAAAGCCAGAAAATTAGCTTACAAGTAGCTTAGGGATGGGAGGCCAGGCGGATCTCCACAGCTGTCCTGCTGCCATCCAGGAGTGCCTTGTATGTAAGTTCTCATAAACTCCTCCACTCGCCAAGCTGTACTTGTGCAGGTCAATCTTTGGTTTCTCGGCTTCCTCTCAGTTTGGGGGAAGGTTTTTGTTAATGCAATTTTGGGTTTTTCTTGTTATAATACCTACTTTAAAAATTTTCAATACTGCTTCAACTACTTTAATGTTCTGGAAATATATGTGTGTATATATCGATATACACACATAAATTAGCTGCCTGGCTAATTTTTGCATTTTTTGTAGAGACAGGGTTTTGCCATGTTGCCCAAACTGGTCTTGAACTCCTAGGCTCAAGTGATTCCCCCGCCTCAACCTTCCAAAGTGCTGGGACTACAAACATGAGCTACTGGACTGTCAAAAATTTTTTAAATTAAAAATTAATTAAAAAATTTATATTGATATATATATCCACATATATACATATATATAGTGTGATATATATACCCTGTCTCAAAAAATGTGTGTGTGTATATATATAAACATGCACATATTTCATTGATATATAGATATATATACACACATATATATATAT